TTGTAGGATTTTATAAATACATGCCGAAACTACGAAATTGTAATAAAATAATGTAAAAAAAAAAATATTTCAAATCAAATTTCATAAATCAAAGGAATAAAATAAAGTAGTGTAACAAAAGATTTTTTAGCAAGAAAATTTTGTCAAAACTGCACTAAAATGAATAAAATAAAATAAGTTAAGGTCTCGTTAAAGTTACTAAAAGCCATTTAGTGAAAATTACTAACAATTTGTACTAATTTACTTCGTTTTTAAAAAAGCTTGTCGCGCGAATATCAAACCGGCATTTAAATATCTGCATGCATACATATACATACCTAACCAATTATGCATGCACGCTGAATTCGCCGACAAGCTTTTTTAAAAACGAAGTAAATTAATTTTTAGTCCATTCATAAAAGCGTTGTATATTAAAAAGTTTTACTTTATTTTATGTACAAAATTTTGCAATAGATATTAAAATAATTCAACTTGCAAGGAAAGAGAACAGAAGACAATGCAAGCAAAATGTTGTTTGCTTACGTTTTGTATAAACATACATATGTACATATAGCAGCAGTTAATTTCATTTAAAGAAATGGCGTTTCGTCCATTTCCCCTGTAGCGTATATAAATGGTGGATATATGTAGGAGCAATATTTAACTTCTTCTGGCGGGGCGAAATCTGGAGTCATCTCATTGTATCTCCTTGATATGATGCCTACAAAGAGGTTCATATCTAGACTAGGTTGATATCTAGAATTTGCCACAAATAGCTTTGCTAAACTACCGCCGCGGCGCGCCGGCAGCTTTAACAATTTTATAGTGGTTTTACGTTCTTTGGCAAATTACGCTCTGTTAGCCATAAATCTTACTATTTTTTTACCGCCTTTGAATCAAGACCCCTGGACCATATGGGTAATTCATTTATATTTTAAATTGCATTGTCATCGTGATTGGAACTATGCTGAAAATTTCAAGTCTCTAACTTGTCGGGAAGTCAGTTTAAAATCGATTGGAAATTTCCGTGATTTCCGCGGGATAACCAAGTTAAATAAAAGCTTATAATATAAAAATGAGATTGAACAATGAAAATGCACGCAAAATTGTAACAGTTTGTGGGCAGAACGAGCCACTTGATTACGAATAGAGTTAAACCAACGGTCGGAACGTTTATGGCTTGAGTAAGAAGATTTTGTTTGAAATCCATCGACAATGCCCAAATTATTAAGTAATTTTTTCTTGACCACCTGCAGATTTTTTCGTTTTGTTTTTTAGATTTGCCAAGATTAAAAATGAGAATTGTAGTAGCTACCTGAAAGTGCATCCTCGGAATGCAATCCTGACTACTGTTAAAATTAATTCGATTTTTCAGATGCTGCACAAGAGGTTAGTGTTGTCTTCTGACCATCAGGGGTTTTTGGCGTTACTTGATGTTCCTCTTCCTTACTGTTAGGTTGATTGCTGAACCGCTTGCCATTTTCCTTGAAATATTGCTTGGCCTTCTTAACCTCGCTTTTCCATATTTGCCTCGTTTCAATCGCTCTTTCGAAATTCTCAATTGTTCCGTTTCCATACCCATTACATTTTTTTCTCGCTTCTTTGTATAATCTAAAATGTGTATTAAGATCACTATGCCACCATGGTTTTGGTGTTCTATTGCCATGAGTGTTTGTTGCTTTATTTATCTTATGTGGGATAGCCTTAGTTATCGTCTCCGACGAAGGCTCCAATTCAATTTTATTTAAGGAAGCCATCAATTTTTTTTTCGACCTGAAAGTACACATTTTTCAGTAACATCAAAATTAATGAAAATTGAGTAGTGATTGTTATCACCAAGATGACATGGTATCACTTCCCAATTTAATGTTGATGCAATATTTGTGAAGGTTAGGTCCAATGCTGAACCATTTTTGGTTCTTAGATTTGTTAATATCAGTGATTAAAAAAAATTAATTTTTAATCCTTAACCCTTAATTTGATTAAGTGGGTCTGGTGATTTATTAATTTATGCTGGAATTGTCTTTTGCTCACAACATCAGTTAATCGGGTATGGCTAAGTCGGTTTCCCACATCAATCTAAGCAATTTGGTGTGCATTTTGATTGTCATCTATTATCAACATACGTTTAGCAAACTAGGTTTTAATATCTCTCTGCACATGTGCGAGGGGTGTTAAACTTCTCAGTTTAAGTTATACAAATTATAATTATTAATAGTTTATATAAGTATTATGAGTTTTTTTTAAGCGTCAAACACAAAAGAATAACCGTAAATGGTGTTTGATTTAAAATGCGGACCTACTAGTCTACTTAATCAGATTTTTTTAATCGGATTAACGATTGATGATTAAAATTGATTAATCGTAATCACCACCGACGATCGATTAAAAAATTTAATCATTAATCACAGATGAGTATGATTAATTAATTTTAATCATTAATCATACAGATGATTACGATTAATCAATTTCAATCGTTAATCGCGATTAACATTTTAATCGTTTATCAGATTAACATTCAGCAAAGTGTGATTGAATTTGACATTGCTTTCAAAAGAACCATCCTATAAAGTCAAATTGAAAAAAATTTATGAATGTTGAATCGTTTGTTTATATTTTTTTTTACAATAGTAGGTACCTTAAAAGATATCCCCACTGAATTGTTAATCACACCTTATTTAATACACCTTGCATGCATCTTTGCGCCATTTTTCCTTTGCAGAATCGGCATTTCAGCCAGCATTGCCACTGTCGAAAAAGTATTGTCCATCCACTTAAAAAAATCTACCAAATCCAGAAAATATCTACCATTTACTATTTTGAGTTATTTTCATCAAAAGACGTACTTGGGCAAAAGAACGCCCCTTACTCACACTCGCTGCAATTATAACGAGTTGTCCCTTCTTATTATCTACGTTCTTTGCTATTGCTCTATTTTTTGGTTATTTCAATGAGAATACAATTTTTTTTATTGAGGAACTTTTTTTTTAACTAATGATATGGTATTTTTTGATCATATTGATGTCATCTTCTCGGTTTCCTTCAACCAAAAGTGAAAGTGATCAATCTAAAGGCAACAACAAAACTTTATCATAATTTAAAAAACTTGAAATGGAGTTATTATCGACAAATACAGTGACTCAAAAAATGCTTGGCAAATTTTTTTATATTCATCACACGGTTGTTCACGCTTGCCTGGTTATCAGGTTATGTGGTTACATTTTTAATTCAGTTTACAACAATAAAATACACTACACAAAAATAATTAACCAGATAACCTGATTACCACGCAAGTGTGAACAACCTCAATGTTTCTCAAGTATACATTTTCTTTGCTATTTTTTATTTGTATAAGAATATTAATTACGCTTTAACCAAGCCAATAAAAATCAAGCATTCAAGCTATATACATACAATATTAAGAACTTTTTACTCTTTTTTTGAAAATTTTTGGGTAGTTTTATAGCCCATGGAATTTTACGTCAACCTAAAATTCCCATTGATTGTTTAAGTTTTTTTTGCCGCCGGTCTTTTGTTTTTTCGTTTAACCATTGCCATTTATAAAAACCCGATTTTTTTAATTTGTTTGTGAGCAATTAGTGAATAATTACATGCCTGTCCATTTTTAATTTATATTTAAAGAATCATTTAAAATATTTAGGTAATCAAAAACTGCTCAGGATTCCAGTAAAACGGAGTTTTGTCGATATATATTTGTATAAATTGTGCATTAATGCATTCGAAAATTAATGCAATAAAGTATACACTTTTTAAAGAAATTTATTAGATGACTACGAAAAATAAACCGCGAACCAAATTGAAAAAAATACGTTTTTACAACCCCAAATTTTTTCTACCAATTTTGGTAATAAGTTACTGAAATGGCAACCCTGATTTCGGCGCATATTTACTTTCCTTTTCGCACTAGTTACTTTTCACTCGCTCTCTTTCAGATTTTTGTTAATTTTCTAGTTACATTTTTACCGTTATCCGGCGCCTTCGCTATGATTTAGTGAAAGATATCCATGGAAGCCCCGCTTATCAGTACCCAGAGTTTAAAATTTCACTTGTTTAATAAAGCACGGTGCTACCGCCATTATCACCGTCACAGACCCACAGACAGACGCCACGTCGTCTTTTAAGCTGGCCCCAATCCACCTTTCATTTTGCTTTCAGAGATCTTTTATATAACTTTGTAGAAATCGAAGAGCTTACCTCTGGGAATTTCCAAATTATCCAAACGGCCTGTCCGGGCACCGTTCTACTTTGATTAAATTTCACAGCTTATTTGCTTTTAAAATTTCCACTAACACTGCGGGGAAAAACACGATCCGCGTCGTTCGCTATACCAATAGAATTGGGTTGTTATTTTGTCTTTTTATAATTAAACTTTATTTACCAACTTTTGTGGTAAATTGTAAAATTTCTTGCACGAATTTTGCTGAAGATACGAAAAAAGCCGCGCAGTTGGTGTGTTTAGTTTTGCATAAAAACTCGCATCCTACGCACAGAGTTGCAATTTTTAACATTGGCCACTGACTTAACATACGTAACCAGATCACGGGTACTTCTATGTAATAGTCGGTCAGTGCTGTTAACTCCATAGGTCTGAAATTCCCAACTCCTCTGAAAAAGGTCCTGTTTATCCCATTTTAAAATTCAAAAATCCCATTTATTAATATTAAATATTATAAGTTCTTTTGAAATGTCCACCCATCACTTTGGAATGCCTCATACATGTAGTATGTTTGAATAAAGAGATGAAACAATGGCGGAACTGCAAATAAGAAAAAACAATTAAACCACAAAATGGTATTTCGCTGGAAATTCCATAATGAGACATAAAATCAAACGCGCCCTTTTATGGTGCGAGAATCCCATATTATGGGCGAAGATCCACTATATAGCAGCACTTGCCTTGTTTACGTTTTTGTTGTTTTGACGTTTTGTCTTGTTTACTTTATTAACGACCCCTTTGGAACTTTTTTCTTGACGACGGTTGGCAACGCGGTTGTCAGCGCACAGAATTTCAGTTGATTGGAAATTGTTGTTTTGGTGAGTGGTTTGCGTCGGTTTGTTTCACGAATTCTTTTTAAAAATTCACAAATAGTTATAAAAAAGAATAAAAATTTATTGTGAGGCATATTGGCTAAAAATTAAAATGCAAGCGTAGTGTTTAATCGAGTAGAACGAAGCTAATATAAAAAGAATTAAGGGACAGTGTAGTGCAGCAGAAAGCCAAGAATGATAGAATAGATTCGCTGTATCGTGGAAGGAAGCTGTGAAGTCGTGGAAAGATTGAATAATAAAAGTAATCTTCTATACTATACGTATGAATTAAAAAGTCAAAAGCCAAAGTTGAAAACAGCGAATACTAAATGAATTTAGAGTGCTCTAACTAAATAAATAAAGTCTCAAGTGCTACAGTACTTAAAAGCCACCAACGCCAACGTTGAGTGAGTGGGCGTCGTTTAACTAAATAAAGAAAAACGCTTGTAGTAGATAAGGCAAGGAAAGATACCCACAGAAGGGCTACAAGTCGGCCATTGTGTCTCCAACGCATCATCTTTGCGTTCTACCTTTCTCCAAAGCGACCTCAATCGGCACCGATTAGTGTGTACGTGAGCGCCATTCGACATACATACATAAATAAGGTAAATTGTAGTTTCCTTTTTGGTTTTTGTAGTATGCACTTGTATTTATTGTTAGACAAGCAAATTTCTATATTAAATAATTTGAGTTCTCCGTTCTACGATGTGCTGTTTGTCTGAGTGTGTTGTTTGATTACACAATGGCTCGTTCAATAGGTGTATACGTTGGAATATGGCGTTTGCGGCTATCTTGTGTTTTACGGTGTGTGCATCATTGAAGCTGCCGCTAACAATGGCTGTTCTCGATTTTGCTACCGCTGGCATGGTGCTTTTTTTAAGAGTTTCTTTTCATTGTTCTAAACAGGTATTTCGTGTTCCCAACATTCGTTTTGCTTGTCTTCCAGCCGAACGTTTGATTATACAGTATCGGTCATATCTATAGCACGCCATTTCAAAGTGATAATGTGTGCCACTTATGTTTATTTATTTATTTTTAAGAATTTTCAATTAAAATTTAGTTCATTCTCGTACAAACCCCATTTATACCCAAGTTCAACAATTTGTAGAAAACTACAAAAAAGTGTAACAAATTTTCACCTAAATTTCAAACTTTTTTCTCAGAAGTGATAGAATTTTTTTGAGTACACAGTTTTTTAGCCCCTGCAATTTAAGTCTGATAATGTGCAAATTTCAAGTAGCTCCGAATTACCGTTAATTTTTTAGAATTTTTTTTGTCGCATTGGCTTCCATATAATGAATAAATTCAATTTATTTGTATATGGAAGAAAACCGCAACATCCTTGTTGAAAAAAATTCTAAAAAATCAGCGGTAACTTTTAGCCACTCGAAACTTGCACATTATCAGACTTAAATTGATTGGGCTATGAAACTGTGTATTCAGAAAAATTCAAACACTTCCGAGAAAAAAGTTTGAAATTTAGGTCAAAATTTGTTGCACTTTTTTGTAGGGTTCTATAAGTTTTTAAACTTGGGTTTATATGAGTTTTGTTTGAGAGAAAACTGTATTTTAATTGAAAATTTTTAAAAATAAATAAATAAACATAAGTGGCACACAATATCACTTTGAAATGGCGTGCTTTAGATATGACCGATACTGTAACTTCATGCAACTGGGTTAACATTTGCGTCTAGCAGAGCATATTGAGTAGAGTTGCAAAGAAGCCATGCAATTTCGTTAGGTAATCACGTACGATGTATGTAGGTAAGTACTTGCATATGAACATACATAGGTATAAACATTTATCTGATGTTTGGGCATCTTGGGTGCTAGAGCGCGAATGAGGGGTTTAAGTTGTTGTTCTTGTTGTTGTTGTAGGCTTAGAAGACACTCCTAGAGACAAAGTAATAAACAATTGAACTATAAATTTATATATTAATAAATTTATTTATTATTTTACCGCTCAATCCTTTTTCGCTCATTGTCGGCTGCAGCCAGGTTTTTACCCTTCTTAAATTTAAATGGAAGTGCTGTGAAGTTAGCGAGAAGAACTTTATACAGAACCGGAGGATGTTGTTGTTGTTGTAGCAGCATACAAGTTCCCCAAAGGATTTTTGGGGAGTGTTGCTGGAGTGACAGTCATTGGCCAGTTATAAATCTGGGTCGTTCCGGTTACGTAGACCCGACTGTCGTGGAAACGCAGAACCGGAGGATCCACATATTCACTTTTTATATCAATTTGCTAATTATTTTGGTAGCACTGAGTGTATAATTTATTATCTAGTATATATGCAAGAGTGATAGAACGCTGCGCCGTGGTATACACATATGTGCATTGGGAAAAACTTGAAAATTTAGGGGGGTCGAAATTATCGAGCTAGCATTTCCCGATACTATTTTTGAATATACATATACGTACAAATTTGGAAGTTAGGGGGCATGGGGGTTCGGGCCCTTGTTCTTGAAAATAAAATTTATTAGATATTAAACTTAAATGCACACATTATTGTTAATAGTGTTGGTTAACTACTTAAGCGGTTGATTAAAATTTAATTACAACGTGACGATTTTTACTGGGAGGGCCCCATCCAAAGAATTTACCCCGGCCTCAGAGGATATAGTTACGCCTCTGACTGCCACATACAGTCAAAATACGATAAACAATAAGCGCTTTTACTTTTTACAGTCTTTATCTGCATTCCTACATGTATATTAGGGTGTTTAATTTTTAGGCGATAAACTGATAATTCATAGAAAATAAAAAAATATGCCCTTTGATAAAAATTTAAAATGCATCACAGTCTTAGCTCTTTCGAAAATTCGATTCGAAAGAAATAATAATTTACATCAAATGCCTTTTAAGATGACATTTATTATACTTACAATAAAAATAAACCTATAATAAACAATAATTTCGTTTCTGAGTTGGTGAAAACATTAATGTTTACTTTTAAGCATCCGGAAATCGCTTCCTATGCATTGCCACAACTTATAATAAGTATTCACCCTCATTGCGAGAGTCGTGTCGAATGCAAGTCGTTTTCGAGAGTCGAATCGTATCGAAAATTTCTCGTCATTGCCTAAAATTTCCACTCGACTAGTGCATTAAAACGGAAAAACTTGGCAGCACTGTATAGTTTTCGACGATTTTGGTCGTTTACTTATTTCAGTACGACAATAGGCAATGCTACTGTTGTCGAGTCGTACAATTTAGCCTAATTTACGACTTCCGCAATGAGGCTGATTGTTTATGTTCTTCGTTATAGGTTAAAGTCTGATTATATGATCCTATTATTTGACTCCCCGCTCAGCAGTATCATTCAAAACATGCAAACATGTCACAAACAGCGCCACCGTGGTAAAAAATTTATCGCCTAAAAATTATACACCCTAATGTACATACATATTTATAAATCTTAAGTAGTTTAAGTGACTTCAGAATATTTGAATTTGAATTAAAAAATTATTGAAAAACTTTATTAGATTTTAATCTTAAACTACACCTATGGCTAAGTAATCGTTAAAATATTATTTGAGAACCCAATCAAATATTGCTTTAAAGGAAGATTACCTATCTCGACTTAGGCTACTTGAATTGACGAGGACAGATGCATACTTATATTAACCTAATCGTTAAAAAGAAAGTGCGCCGCATCTCCCATAAATTTCAAAAATTTACCCACTTTCCTTTTTCACATTTCGTTGTCGCGCTGAAACACTAAAAGCTTATCAAGCGCCAACGTAAAGGCGTGCACGTCCACACCAATGTAAACTTTATATATGTATACAAATATACATACATAAGTAAGTAATTGGCCTAAATCGAGTTGAAAATAATTGGTTTGTTGCTTTTAATGCGATTGGGTGTGATTTTATGAGGAATCTATTTTGGCAGACTTTCTTCAGTTTTATAGGATATTCAAAGTTCAATCATTCAATCAAAATACACTAAAAATGGGGAGCACAACTTGCTTACAAGAATTAGATGGCTTTAGATCGGCGTATATTGACCTAATTTCTTTTCCATATTTCACACCTTATTTATTTTTCTTTATTCTTTAAGCAATTCTATACTATGATACTATGTATGTATAAATTAGTATAAGACCCTGGTAATTGTAATTTTTATTGACAGTCAAATAAAATTAATCGACGTTGCATAAACACCAGCATAACTGTATATCTGTGCATATATGTGCTGGAAAAAAATCATATAAATTGATGAAGCCCCATAGACCATCGCAGTTCTTGTAACCCGCGCGTCCACTGGAGGTCATTGCAACAATTGACTCAAAATGCCAACTTTTCATAAAATGCACACGTTTCTACGAGTGCTGCAGGCATGCTGGAAGCAGTTGTTGCAGCTACACAAGCACCATCCCAACTTTAAACAGCACTCACTCACACAGTCAGTCAGTCATTCAAGTGGTCAACCGACCATCCAGTTGCCAATGCCAACATTTGCACTTTGCTCTGCTTTTAATGCAAACAAACAAAAAACGAGCAAAAAAAAATGAACAGAAAACAGCGCCAACAAAGCAAAAAAGTAGCCAGCCAATGCGTATAGCACATCTTTGTAAGCTGTGAGTTGTAGTCTGCTGCATCTATGACTGCTGACTCCGACACGTCCTCCGGCTTGTATGCAAATTTTATTCCAATTCTCTTTGTGTTATTTTTATTTTTCTTTTTTCTTTCTAAACTTTGAACTGCTTTCCATGCCACTCAATCAAATGTATGTTTGTATGTATGTGTTTGAAGCTTCAAACACTTGGAATCAGCAATAGCCACCCTATTATTCGCAGGCTACAGCATTGCGTCCTCCACCAGCGTGCATTCCCCTTATCAGTACAGCCATTTATTCGTCTTTCGACATCTCCCTTTCCCATATTTGACTTTATTTTCATTCTCTTTGTTTGTTTCTCATTTCTATATTGATTCGTCTGGCCGCCACTCCACTCTCTCCATTCAACACTAAGGTTGTCTCGAGCTTTGCTTGGCTTGGTTGTGTCAGTGATTTGCCATAATTTCGTTTTGGGTTTTCCCATTGGTTCAGCGGTTTTCTTGTCTGCTGCTGCAGACAACAAAGCACTGTCTTTGCTCTGTGTATTCACGTTCGGCAAGTTGCTATTTGAATTTCATAAGTGCGAAGAACTTTTGGGATTTCATGGTTTACTTGGAATTTCAATAGGTACATATATGTATGTATGTATGTATGTACTTCGCCATCGTATTTCGCCTATAAACCCAGACGTATTTTAAACTTTTTTCGACTGTGTAAACGAAGTTACGGAGCAATCTATCTTTTGAATTGAGGTCATTCAACTTTTAAATAAAGCTGCTGAAGTGACAGCCCTGGACAGGAATCTATTGATGGCTCTTGCTACTGTTGAAAAAAGGTTTTTGGAAACTGAGTAACTTCCTAGGCACACAGTCACTCACAGAAGTGTTCGTAATAGTTTTTTTTACAACATTAAAAATGTTTCCCATCATAAATCTTGTTCGTTCATTTTTATTTAAAACATAGTTCAATAAATAAAAAAAAAAAACATATAAATCAATCTTGCAAACTTTGTACAAAATTAATCAAACTTCAAAAATTTTCATT